GATTATATTGACGGGGAGGTTTAGGGGGAAAAGGGTTGTTTTCTTGAAGCAGCTGCCATCCGGGTTGCTTCTTGTCACTGGTGAGTCCCTTTGATTTCGTTCTTAATTTGTCCCATTTTTACATTATGTTTATTGATTTGGTTTTTGATTATATTTCTGTAGTTCAAGAAGTTGAAATATGGTATTTTTTTGTTGGTAAGAATTTCACCTTTGCGGGTCCTTCACGCTTTAAACTCAGTCATTAAGTGAATAAATATGAATTTTGCAGTTTCTATGCGTCTGATTTTCACAGATTCGTGTGTGAGACTTGTGTGAGGCAGCCTAAAAGTTATTAAGGCCAGTCGGTTCGACATGTGATACTTTCTGAATAAAATTGCATACTTATACGGACAAATGTCATACTTTTATCTATAAGTTTTTCTAAGTACTTTCAATTGTCTGTGTAAGCATGCATATTTCTAAAAATGTTTAATTGCCTAGGCCCAGCAGATAGGAGCCTTACCGATTGATCTTTCTCGATTCATTTATATTTCTTTAATGTTCTTTTGCTTCTGCTTCTATTTTTGCTGTGTAATGATTTGTTGGGTTGATAGATTTAGGTTCCCCTAGTAATTGTAATTTCTCAGATTGAACTCCTGTTTGGTGTGGGCTTCTACATTTTCTTGTGGCATCCATTTTTCCGTCACATTAGAATGATGGTTGCTGATACTATCTTTTTGCTTGGTCATGAGTAGACATACAAAAAAATAGTAGGATGTGTACATAACTATCAATGACTGTGTTGATGACTAATGGCCGGTATTGATGTTATTTGCATCGAACGTTCCAGGTATAGCTAAGTTTGACTTGTTTGGATCCAGTTTCCATTGTTCTATTTCGTAATTTATGACTTTCTTTTATTAATTGAAAAAATATAGTTTTTTGACATACATTGTATCATGAATATTCTCATTTCTGTGCTCAATACGGCATAAAGTCTTAAATCTGCAAATTTCTCTGAATTTCTCATCCAGGTCCGTACAAGATCAATGGTGTTCCTCTAAGACGCGTGAACCAGGCCTATGTTATTGGAACATCTACAAAGGTTGACATTTCTGGAGTGAACTTGGACAAGTTTGATGACAAGTACTTTGCCAAGCAAGTGGAGAAGAAGAAGAAAAAGGGCGAGAGTGAGTTCTTTGAGTCTGAGAAAGAGGTTAGTTTTCTCCGACTCTTAGCAGCTGTCAAAGGTTGTCTAAGGTTTTGTGCTAATTTTATACATTTACATGTGTAGGAAAAGAACACCCTCCCTGCAGAGAAAAAAGATGATCAGAAGGTTGTTGATGCACCTTTGTTGAAAGCTATTGAAGCTGTTGCAGACCTCAAGACCTATTTGGGTGCCAGGTTCTCTCTCAAGTCTGGCATGAAACCTCACGAGCTGGTCTTCTAGACCATTTTTTGAGTCGAATTGTTTTTTCTTTTATTTGCACCAAAACTGTGACAGTTGTGTTGAGTAATCTCAGTGGGAGTGGGGTGATATGAACTTCCAAATTTTGCTTACACATCGTTAGACTCCTCTCTCCTTACTAAGGATCCTTTAATTGGCTATGTTATTTGATCATCTCGTTTTATTCCTGCTTTTGTTTGAGTTATACAACTAAAGAACCATGAGGTTCCTTGTGTCTACTGACCAAGAAAATCCCAAGAGTTACAACCTTCTGAGTGAAATTTATTTTAGTTATGGAGTACATTGCTATGTTTGGTAAAACTAGCTGATAAGCTAGCTGATAGCTTATAATCTAGCTTATAACTTATTAGTTATTTTCGAGCTTATAGCTTATAGTTACAGCTTATGACTTATAGATGAAAAACTAGCTTATATGATAAAAGTGTTCGGTAAAATTAGCTGATAAGCTAGCTCGAATAAAAAAATCAACTAACTTATTTGAAAAGCTACTAAAAAAGAAGCTTATCAAATAAGCTCGAGCTTTTTAAATAAGCTCGTCCTACCAAACGGAGCTTATTTAAATACATGGAGCTTATAAGCTAATCAAATAAGCTATAAGCTAGCTTATTGGTCTACCAAACATAGCCTACATGAGGATGATGACAGAGATCAGATCCTTTCTTGTCTAATGATTGAGTTTTGCCAAGAAGTCTATCCTCAGCATCTGTGTTTTTTGGGGAGTCTGAGGCCTATTAGAAAAAGCATGACCCGGGGAAGTTTTTAAACAACTTGAGCTGCTTGTTGGCTTGTTTGCTCTTTGCGCTAGAAAATTAGGCACTTCTACTTGTGTTGTAAAAGGACACTCAACCTGAACTGTTGGTACCTGTGTAATTGAGCCGGAACCTCTCCATCGAGTGGTAGAAAATGATAGTATTGAGCTTCCTAAATATTCTTACAGCTTTAAATTCATTGGACATATATTCTGCTAATTCCAACATGATTTCCGTGATAAGACAATATTGGATATTGTCTCCAACGGTTAGTTTGGACCCCCTTAACCAACTCAAGGGCTTCGTCGCTTTTGGTGTATTCTGTCCAACCGGACAGCATTGCTTTTCTGTACAGAAAGCTGATGTTTTTACAGTTAGTACTTAGTAGTCCCCATAGATTTCAACAATGCTCGGTTGCTCTTATATATCTTTTCATGCTTAGCTTAACAGTTAACTATACTTCATAGCTAATCCAACTTCCTTTGTATCACTCTGTTGTACTATTTATGTAAAAGAAGAAACACACACTACATATGGAATTGAATGTGGTCACATCCAACTCGCTAGCATGTATGTATAACGAGTGAGTCCAATGTAACAGTACATAAACATAGGTACGAACATAGCGCGAGTCCAAATAAATCTAATCCCAAGTACGAGTAGCTCTGGTGCCACTTGTCAATACTTAACTGAAGAGACAACACCCGATTGCCGACGAGCTCAAGGTCAAGATCGGTTGTTCGAAGAGTAGAAGCAGAAATTTTTAGTACCAAGCAGATCTTTTTTTTTTTTTTATTATCATAATAAT